TGGGAACCGGGAGGGGTTCCCACTAGTATCTCGAGGCGGGAGGGGAGGCAGGGGCCCCCCACAGCAGCTGCTCTAGTCACAGAGCGGTGAGCCGCAGCGCGTGAGCCGGGGCCCGGAACGCGAGGGGATGAAGACCCCCAGCGCCACGCCACCCTCAGGTTCATTCCACGCCGACAACTGGCGTGGGCCCGTCTACTTTCTGAGAGGAATGCTCTTCTGGATGACATCTGGTGGCTGCAGACCACCCCCTTTGACATCATATATGTAACCAAGATGCTTCGGATTTTCACAAACGTCGATTTTTTTCTCTCTCCTGATTTTCTGAGCTAGAAATACAGGTGGGCGTCATGCCCACATTCTCTTTCAGGCCTGAGTGTTCCCTCAGGAGTTTTATGGGTTTTCACCCACTGGAAGGCAGTGAGTCTAGCCCTGTACTCCCCAAGCAAGCGAGTCGTGGCAGTCTCAGCTTCGGGGCCTGTGGGCATGAGCCCAACTCGCAGGCCCCCCTCGCCCACAGCCGCACCCCCAGAGACAGGCCGAGCTCCAGAGCGCCGGAGCAGAGGTCTCACCTTTCGTTTTCCAGCGACTTCAAGATCTCCGAGCTTTTCTTTTGCCTGTGGAGAAATGCACAAGCGTCCCGCGTGGCCTCTTCTCCCAGCGGCCCCCGCGGTGCGGACGAGGCTGATTGGGCTGGGGCGCTTAGCCCCACCACTGGGGGTCTGGTTCCCGGGGCCCTGACTCTCCCTCTCCAAGTGTCATCACCCCACTGGGGATGTGGGCACCATGGTCACAGAGATGTCTGACGGAGGGCACAGACATGGGGGCACCGGGGCTGCTGGGGGAGCAAGACACTCGGAGACCGGGAAGAGGGGGCCGGAGGCACAGGGTGGCAAAGCCGCTTCTGGAGTCCTCCACAGGGCCCCCGCTAGCCTGTCCAGGCTGCCAGAGCGCCCGGGCCCTCGCCCCTCAGCCAAGCAGGCCTGCTCCTAGGTCTTAGCGACCTTGCTCAGGAGTCGCCAGGGTGGCTGGCCAGCCTCAGTGCAAGAGGCCACCGGGAACCAAAATGTCGGAGCAGGGTGACCCCAAAGATCTTGCTAAAGCCACCTAAGTTATAGAGGGGAAAGCCGGCAGGCGGCCAGAGCAGTCTCTGGCCAGGAGCTGACCGCCACGCCAGGCCAGAGTCGCCTTCAAGCCGGCGCACATGGGGCGCCCAGAGGACCCTGAGACGGGAGACAGCCGAGGGTGCTGGGGAGCTCCTCGCCCGGGGCGGAGGGCGGCGCCTGACCTCTGATTCTCCTGCAGGAGCTTCTGGATGCGGAGGGAGATGCTCTGCTCCGTCTGCCTCAGCTGCTCCCGCAGCCGCTGGCGCTCTGCGTCCAGGTGGCGCTGGTGCTGGGTCAGGCCCTGCTCCAGCCGAGACCGCTCCTGCGGGACAGCGGGAGGCGGGCAAGGGCCATGGGCTGCAGGCCGGAGCCCGGGTTCCTGCCCTCACCCCACCAGCCCTTTCGGGGGCCTTGAAGCCTCAGCTGCTGCGGAAGAAGGGACTGGCTCACTCCCACCGCCTTCCCACATGAGGGGGCCTGGGCCCAAGCCCAGAGGCTGGCCGGGGTGCATACTGGGGGCCCCCTGGGCTGCCCACTGACCTCCTTGACCGTCTGCAGGATCTCGTCCTTCTGGCTGGTGTTCTGCTGCAGGAGCTGCGCATGCTCCCGCTGCCCCAGCTCCAGGCGCCGCTCAAACTCCAGCTTCTCCAGCATCTTCTGTTCCTGCAAGTGTGGTGGCCCTTGGTAGCTCCTGGCTCAGGCTGCGCACTGGGACTCGGGAGCAGGCTGAGTCCACCTCTACTCTGAGCCTCCTGGGCTGGGGGCTGACTGCCGAGCGCCCCAGGCCCCCAAGGCCCAGAGGCAACCCATGGGCTGTTCAGGCGCAAAGGCTGGCGAGTGGGAGCCTGCGGTCAGGCTGCACCTCGACACTCTCATCTGTCAGACGGAGACACCCGAACACCCGCTGAGGATGGGGGTGGGGGACGGGCAGAAGGGAGCGCGTTACTGGACGCTTTCCTTTAGAGCAGGAAGGACTTGCTCCCTCACGTTGCTTGTCAATGTTGAGAACTTTCATGAGAAGAAAAATAGCAGGAAAAGAGGCATTTTCTTACCTTCCTCTTCTCATAGTCCGAGAACCTGTTCTGGGAGGGAAAATAGAGCGGTCAAGACAAGCCGGGCAGCGGTTCTTGCGAGCACAGGGCCTGGGTCTGGCGGCCACTCTGACCCCCAGGCCCTCCCCAGGCCCTGCCACAAAGGGGGCGTTTTGATGCAGGGGCCGGGTGGCTCCAGAGGGCACTGGTCCAGCACCCCAGGAAGGTCTGGGGACACGGCCGCAGAGAGCGAGGCTGTGGCCAGGAGCTCACCAGAGGGGCTGTGTCCTGGAGGAGGGGGCTGACCCGGGAGGCAAGTCGGGCGGCTTCGGGGAAGTGACGGTCAACGAGCGCTCTTATGAGAGCTCCCGGTGCATGGAGGAAGCCAGGCCCGGCCTGCAGGCGGGCCTCCCGGCCCGGGCAGGGCGCTTACCTGCCACTCCACCTCCTCCCTGGAGAATCTGTCCGTGGGCCCGTCGGGGCTGTCCCGGGAGCTCTCGGCCCCATCCTGCTCCAGGACTGGCAGCAGGTACTGAGACGGAGGGTAATATTCCAGCCCCAACTCTGCAAGAGACCCCCAGCACCTGAGGGGCGTCCGGGGCACTGGAGACCGGCTCCTGTGCTCTCGTCCTTGTCCCTCCCTGCACCCTGCCCCACCCCAACTCGGTCACTGCTCCCCTCTGGCCTAGGCTGGGCTCTCCGTGTGGCTCCCCAGTTCTACCCTGGGCCTGGAAGGTGTCAGGCTCTCAGTAAGCATCACTGCCTGCCTCTCACTCACCCAAGTGAGAGCCAGGTGAGGGGGAAGCCTGCGATTAGCTGAGAAACCGGCCCGAGCTCCGGCCCTGCGGAGCCCCTGTTCACAGCGCCCCTGTCTGGCCCTGCGTGGGGTCCTCCCGGCTCATCTGAAAGGCTCACACTCTGCGCATTGTCTAGTAACGCTCTTTACACATTGCAGCTAAAACCTCCGTCCACAATGTCTGCCCTACCCTCTCCTTCCAGCTGGTAACTCATCTTTTAATTTTGAGGACGGTCTCCTGGGGGTACCGTTTTCAATTTGGATGTTGTCAACATAATGTCTGTTTCCCCCTTCTCCAGGATATGAATAGATGATTCACAAGAAATACTAGATATGGGTAACAGATGTGAAAAAGGTGACAGAACCAAGGAAATTACATTAACATAATAACAGGCCCTCTTGTTTATCTCTTAGGTTAGCAGACTTTAGAGATCAGACCAAGTGTTAGCAGGATGTGGGGGGAGAAAAAGACCCTCCCAGATACTCCCCAGGGCGCGAAACCAGCGTAACCTCCTCAGAGGACAAGCCAGAGCTCGCCCAGCTCACCGTCAGCGGCAAGGCTGCCAGCCCACGCGCCCACTCGCCGGGTGCGAGGCGCGGCTGCCGCGCACATACCAGGGGGCATGGGGGGAGCCGCCGTGCCCACGCGGGGTGTGGCTGCCGGCCACGGGCCGCGCGGAATGCTGGGCAGCAGTTTACAAGGACCCTGACCATGCGGACGAGGGGCCGGGGCCCACGACCTGTTCCTGAGGGAAAAGGTGGCACAGACCACAGTGGGAGACCTCCTTTGGTTTCCCTTTTATGTTGTTAATAGAGCAACCCCCCGATTTCACACACATACTCGAACACCTGCACAGTTACATGGAGTGAAGGGCTGTTTCATGAGCTGAGAGCAGGTAAACGCATGCGCGCCACGTTGTTCTACCTAAGCGCTGGGAAATTAGCAAATCCTTTTAAAGAACACAAAGGGTGCGGTGTAGCTCAGCCACAGCCCACACACACACAACTCAGCTGTTGCTCCAGGACTAATGTGGCAGATGTGTGGCCTGGCGCACGCGGGATAGGGGTGTGACTTATCCTTCTGGAAGCGCAGCGCGCCCAGAACAGCGCAGCCAGGGAGCCCGGCCGGCCGGCTGAACTCGGGGCGCCCTGCCGCCCCGCTGGTTTGCTCTTAGCCGACACCCTGCCGTCTGTGGGCGCGGCTGGGCTGTGTGTAGCTGCTGGTTCTTCCTGACGGCTGCGTCGTGTTCACGAGCAAGCACACATTTGTTTCCGTTCTACCGCTGCTGAACAAGTAGGCAACCGTGAAGGCTGCTGCGAACGTTTTGTTTTGGCTTTGGCAGACATTCACGTGCGTCTCCTAGGGCTCAGACCCGGGCCTGCAACTGGTGGGCCACCAGGTGTCTGGCTGTTCAACTCGAGCAGATAATGGCAGCTCCCGTCTCGCCGCATTTCCACGTCTACCCCGCACGCAGGTGTGGCTCCGGCTGCCGCACAGCTTCGCTGACTCGATGCTGGCAGTTCCGCTGCGGCCATGTTGGCGGCCATGTAGGTTGGGGCATCTCGCAGATTTAATTTGTGTTTTCCTGTTGACTGAAGTCATGTTGAGTCTTTTTTCCCAGGCACTACTGGGATATTCTCTTTGGTAAAATCCCCGTTCAAGTCTCTGGATGCCGCCGTTCCCGTGCTGCCCTGGGCTCTGTGGGAGTCTTCCAGAAGCAGTCCTGGGCTGGATGTGCTCCTATCACAAACACTATTCCCACTGTGTGTCTTGCTTTTTCTCCCCCAAGTCAACACTTGAGACATTTCAGATTCTGAGGAAATCTGTTATCAGCCTTCCATGCTCAGGGCTGCTGGTCTCTCCCCCCACCCCCAGCCTCCCCTCATGGCTGTGGAATTGATCCAGAACCCTTTGCTGCAAGGGCTGTGCCCTGCAATGGCGCTGTGCCACAGGTGAGCCCGCGCTTGTGCGTGCCAGCTGTGTAATGATGCCCAGAGGGGCCGGAGCCCCCAGGCTGTTGGGAGGCAGCTGGGCCCCGCAACCCCTCCTGGCACCAGACATCGCCGGCCCTGGGTTCGGCTCTCTCTGCTGTCCTGCAACCCCTCCAGGTCCAGCCCACCGTGGTCTCTCACAGGTGACCCCAATCCTGTGGTTCCCCACCCTCGCTCTTGCTTCCTCCAGTCCCTCTCCCTCCTTGCAGACAGCGATCTTTGGGAAAAGCTAGTGAGATCACACGCCTCCGTCTCCGGGCCAGGGTCCCCTCCAGCTTGGCCCTCGATCTCTCTTCCTCGGCCCGGGCATCCAGGCCCTCGGCCTTCTCTCCAGGATGCCTCCCGCCGCCCGACCCCCGGCCCTCTGGTGGACGCCTCCCTCGGCCAGGACACCCTGCCCCTGGCTTAGTCTTAGTGATCTTCAGGCTGAGCCAAGCCTTCTCCGCAGACCCTCCCGGCCCCTGTGACGCTCTCTTTTCCTTGTGTGATGACCGCGCAGCCTCGGAGCACGCAGCTTCCTCTGCCTTCCAGGGACGCTGGCCCCTGCCCCCCAGGCCGGGCCGGTGCGGCGGCTTACCTTTGCAGAGGAACTGCTGAATGGCCTCGGTGCCGGCGCTACACACCTCACGCGGGGGGTAGACCATGGACGTGGCGTCAAGGCTCAGGGTCTGCAGAGACAGGGGGCCCCTTCGTATACGTGGCGTTCCCTGTCCTGCTCTACACGATGGGGAATGCCCTGGTCTGGCTGCTCGCAGCTGTGCTTCCTCGTTCCTCTGCCTGGTGCCACGGAAAAGCTCAAGAGGCGCCTTTCCAGAACGGGGAAGAAGGTGGGCCTGGGGTGGCAGGACCGTGCCCCAGAGGCCGGCACGCTCTGAGCTGCCCGTGCGCGGCGGCCACCAAGTGCACGTGGCTACGTAAACATGACGTCGCTCACGTCAGCAACGTTAGCGTGCAGTTCCCCACTGTCCGTCTTGAAACCACCCAGGTTGGGTGGGCTCATTGTTGATTCCTGCAGAACAGAGAATTTTGGGGCCTCGGTGTCCCCTTGTAGGCTGAATCAGGGGACCCAGCAGCCAGCAGGGACACGGCCAGGGAGCAGACTAGCCTCAGAGCGCCGCCCCTAGCCGGGCTCCAGGCCCCGGCGCCTGCAGTCACATGGCTGCGCTGGGCCCAGGTGTCCGTGCCCACCGGCCCGGCACCCACGTGCTCCCACCGGGTGTCCTTGCTCCGAGAGGCGCACAGGACTGCAGGGTGGGCGTGGAAGCTAGTGGCGGCAGGGGAAAGGCCCGAGAGCCCGACCCCCCTTGGCTGGCACTGCAGGGGCCCAGCCGCCGGCCGGCCCCCCCGGGCTGTCTCTGCGCTGCCACCCCTCTCGCCACAGACAGCGGCGCACAGCCGCGGCTGCAGAGGCAGGTCACGGGAGCAGTGGCGGTGGCCTGCCGGACCGTCATCACGAACGGCGCGCTCGAGGTGGGGGCCCGAGGTGAGAGCAGCGGCCTGGCTGTAGGCTGCCCTGTTTCCAGCCTTCCTCTGCGATTACTAGGGGCGCCCCCTCTGTGGGACGCTGGGCGAGCTCCGTAAACTTTGCATGCCCCAGTTTCTTCACCCGCACAGGGGCACAGCAGTATTCGCCTCAGGGGGCTTTCCTGAGGCTTTGGGGTGCAACAGCCTTAGTGATCAGAGCAAGGTCGGCCTCCTTGGCCACCTTCCCGCGTGGGCCGCGGCGTCAGCGTTCGCTAGAGACTGAATCGTGTCCCCCACAATACGCAAGTGGAAGCCCGAGGCCCCCGGGGCCTCCAGACGGGGCTGGGTTTGGACAGAGGCTTCAAGGGTAACCGGCTGAGAGTGACGTCCGCAGGCTGGGCCCTCGTCCACACCACCGGTGTCCGTGGAAGACCGGGTCTGCACCCAGGTCTTCTTCTGCAGAGGGAGATCCCAGCGCCACGCAGGCAGCCCTGGCACCCGGGCGGAGCCCAGGACGCGCGCCCTCCGCCGCCGCCCCAGGCTGCGCTGACGAAACTGCCACCGCGCACTAAGCTGAGGCCGCGGCCTCCTCCCTGCCAGCTCTCTGGGCCTGTGTGCGGGACCCAGCCCAGCAGCTCCCCCATTCTCAGCCCAGCCGTGCCCCCCACAGCCCGCCTCTCCTCGCGCTGCTCCACCTGGAATGCACCCCGCCACGCCTACTCCCCCGCGAGTCCTTTCCAGGCCTCACTCCAGCACCCCTCTTTCATGAGGTGGTCACCCGTCAGCAGCCGGCATTATCGCTTTACTCTGGAGGTGGGTTTCCTGCCTGTCTTGGCCGCAAAAGCCACGTCACAGCGCTGCCCGCTCCCTGCGAGCTCCTCACCAAGCCTTGGGCTCTCGGACCAGCGTGTTCAGGAATGAGCGGGGCGGGGCGGGGGCGTGCCAGGAGGAAGGGCGACGCAGAACGAGGACAAGGCCCACTCACCTCGAGGGTTCGGACGTGCGCTAGCATCTGAGGCAGCTTCTGAATCTCGTTTTCACTCACGTCCAGAGTACGCAAGCTGCGAAGTTCCCCCAAGGTGTCTGGAAGCTCCTTCAGCTTGTTGTCTGGAGAGACCCCAGTGGCCCAGCTCAGCACCCCAGCCCCCTCCACCAGCTTCCTGCCTCAGGGTCTCCGCCCCCCCTAATGTCCAGGACTTGGGGGACGGCAGGAGAGGGGTGCTTTGCTCTGACTCTGGCTCATGCCAGGCCCTGGGCCCTGACAGGCTCCGTGAGGCCGAGCTCGGCCTGGGTTTCAGGGGCCTGGGCTCAGGCTGCAGCCTCAGCACCTACTGGCTGAGGGGCCTCGGAAAAGTGACTTCACCTGCCTGGGCCAGTTCTCCTGACTGTGAAGTAGAGACGAGGGGTTCAATGAGATTACATATGTGTGGCCCTTATATGGGAGTGAGCAGCAAATGGGTAAACGGAGGCATTCTGTGCAGAAAGTGCTTACGGACACGGAAGAATGAGGCACCTCATGAGGGTGACCAAGATGGGGTCTCGAGCGCATCACCGCTCTGTGTCTCACTCTCCCCACCTGTCGATGGGGAGAGCACCTGCTCGCTTTCCACACCTTGGACTTGTCAGGCTCGCCCCACTGGACAGGAAGGACAACTCACTGCTGGGGCTCTGCCTGGCCCTCGGCTGTGGCCACCGCTCCCTGTCACACATCCCCATGACCCCGGTGAGGCCTAGCTGTCACCGTGGTCTGCCCACAAGTCCCTGGCCCCAAGGAGGGGCAGGAACCCTCCAGATGCCCAGCCTCTGGCTACCACGGAGGTCAACCCAACTCACAAATGACCCCTGGGACTGGCTGCCTTCCTGGGAGGTGTGCCCAGGGGGTGCGAGCTCCGGGACGGCCCCGGCCGACCCAGGCCCGAGGGCGGGGCTCCCGGACGCCTACCTTTCACATTGAGGGTCTGCAGCTGGGCCAGCTTCCCGATGGAACGTGGGAGATACGTCAGTTGATTCCTTTCCACGTTCAATACCTAAGAAAGAGGGAACCCGACTGCAGACAAGTGTCTCACCCTGGCCGCTGGCCATCGTCCGGGCCGCACACACATCCCGTCATCTCCTCCTGACAGCCCTGAGGGAAGGCACAGATCCTGTGATCCCTCCTGAGCGGCGAAAGCTGAGGCTGGAGCAGTGCGGTCCGTGCTCAGGAGACCGCCGGCCTTGCGTCCCGCTCCGGCTCAGGTCGGCCCTACACCCACTGCCGAGTGTCCCACACCCCACGATTGGGGAGGGGAGAGGGGCTGACAGCTCAGGGTGCAGGCGAGGCAGTCACGGCAAGTCTCTGGCTCCCGGTGCCAGCAGGACACCGAACGGCAGACAGGCCACGGCTGACGCGGCTGGTGCTGCTCCCTGCAGGACTGGCCCCACGGCGCGAGGCGGCCATCGGATGTCCATGAAAAATGACACACCTGGCAGCGCCGCAGTCATCACAGAGAACGGACATTTGATGAGCCGGAGGGTGGTTCTGAGTTACAGCCAGGTACCCAAAAGATGCGAAGCCGCGAATGCCAAGACTCCAGGAAAATGGAGCCTCAAGCGAGCCTGAGCAGGATGCCGGGCCGGACGCTGGCGCTGCCCTGGCCACTTCCTGCCGTGTCACCGGGGCCAGTCCCTGCCGTCCCTCTGGACCCCAGTGCTCTCTCTGTCCAATATGACGGCGTCACCCACAGCACACGGCCACTTCTGTCTCCTCCAGGTGCGAGGCAGGTGCTGAGGGGGTGCTGGCCTCATGGGACTGCACTTCAGTAGGGGAGGCCGTCGAGCCGGTCATCAGTGACCAGTGACTATGGGGGGCCAACGGCACCTGGGTGGGGGTCGGGGTTGAGGCAGAGGCCAGTAAAGGGGGATCTGCTCATCCAGGGAGCCCTGAAGGACACCGGCTGAGGGTGAAGGATGAGCCACCGAGGCAGGGGCAGTCGAGGAGAGGCCCACAGGGGTGAGGCGCAGAGGGCCCGGCAGGGTTTCAGGAGCTTACTGCGGGGAGCAAAAGGGGAGAGGAAGGAGGAGATCGGAAAGACAAGGGGCCCATGTGTAGGGTCTGACGGGGCACAGGGCAGAGGGTGAATTTTCATCTAGTGTGTGGGAGACACCTGAGACACCTGTTTCTCCGCGAGGGCGATACCAACAGCCGCCCCATGAGTGAAACCGCTCAGCTGGGGGCAGGGTGAGGCACGCTCAGTAAACTCAGCAGACAAGAAGACAGGAGACAGAGTTGGGGTGCTGGGCTCATCATTCTTAACAGCAGGACTCGCGGGGTGCTCCTTTTCCTTAAAGTTTTGGGAGCTCAAGGTAAAATCCCCCAATGCATACACAAAATACAGGAGAGACACCCACAGAGCAGCTGGTGAGGGCAAGCGTGCCCCTGGGAACCCTAAGAGCCAAGGCTGGGGGAGCTCGCACCGGGGGCAGCCCTGGAAGAGACAATCAGAATGTTCCAGACTAGGGGCGTGAGGAGCGGTGGGCTGCGATGTCTCGCTGGGCCCTCAGAGGTGGGGTCTGCTCCCTGCGGCCGTACCTGGAGGGCCGTCAGCTGCCCTATGTCTTCAGGGAGGGCGGCCAGCTGGTTCTCGTGAAGATCCAGAACCTGCGGAACAAGACGGGTCACAGAGCTGCTGCAGGCTCCCGGAGGGAGGGAGGTGGGCGGCGAGAGGCCCTCTGGCTTGAAACAAAGAGCACCCCGCACTTCCTCCCCAACCAAGTGACCATTCCCTCTCATTTCCTTTATGCCATCTCATCCTTCCAGTTATTAAGTTCCGCCTGGCTGGGTGCCAGGAGGGTGGCATCACACGTTGGCCACGGAGGCCCTGGCTCCCCAGAGGATCACTCTCTGTTCCCTGCCAGTTCACTTGCTACGCGGCTGCGGGTGGCTCCCAGAGAGCAAGACCTGTAACCCAGCCCACGCACAGCATGCTGAGGGCGCCCAGACACCAGCTGGTCAAGCCGCAGGCTGGCAGCCACTCTAGGCCTGACTGGCAGAAATAGGGGGGACCGGACGAGAGTGGGGTGCTGGGCTGAGACCCTGACGCCAGGGAGAAGGGTCAGTACCTTGATGGTCGCCAGACTCAGGAGGCTACAGGATTTCGGAAGCAGAGACGTGAGGTGATTCGTGTGGACAATCAACACCTGCATGGGAAAGCGTCGCCACACGCTGTGTTGAAGAGCTAACGGCAGAGAGGCCTTGCGGAGGCCCCGGCCCGCCCCGTGTCCCTGATCCCCTGGAAACCTCCAAGTGGGGTGTAGTTCGTGGAGTCTCTGGATGTGGAATCAAACGACCTTAAAGTCTGGAATTTCGAGGGTGAAAGGGGCTTCAGAGGCCACCCCACCTTCCCGTCCCGAAGGGCCCGCGCATCCGTCCTGACCTTACTGTCCTCAGCTGCAGCCTCCTGGTAAGCAGGCGCCTCCCGAGGACCGCCTCGCTGAGCAACAAGCTCAGGCCATGGGGCTCTCGGCCCCGGGCGGGCTCGCGGTCCGGGCCCCATCAGCGGGCGGCCCCCTCCACCCCAACCCCCCGCTTTGCTGGGTCCCGACCCGGCACGGATAGTTCTAGAGCGGCGTGCTCACTGCTGCTGCAAGGAGCCTCGCTCCCTCACGGAGCGCAAGCATTTGGAACACTCTGCCATGTTCAAAGCTAGGGTGCCTTTGTGAGAACCGTTCCTGCGCCTCATGGCCCCCCAGTGACCACAGTGAAATAAATGAGCGGCGCTTTTATGGCTATTAACCGAGAGGGCGCTTCGTGGCCACGCAGGCACAGCCCGCGGGCGCTCACCGCTAGCCTGGAGCTGGCCACGCCCCTGCCTCGTGGCGACTGCAGTCCGGCAGACCAGCGACAGGTGCTGGACGTCCTGGGTGCCCCGGCTCCAGCAAATTCCCAGACCCCGACTGTTCTCCCGTGACCTAGTGTGTGGAGACTGCCCTGCTGCACCTCACTTAACCCTCACGAGGCCTCTGTGCAGGCGGAACTGTAACTTCCACATTTCGTGGATGGAGAAACAAAGCTGTAAGAGTTGGAGGAAGCTGCCCCAGGCCTGAGGGGCAAAGTCCCGGAGCTAAGGGTGCTCCCCTGCTGTGAGAGTGCGGCGGGAAGGGTGGCCAGAGAGGAGGGAGGTGTCTGTGCACGGGACAGCTCCTGGGAAACCCCCTGACTTCACACAAGCAAACGTGCAATAAACGATTCTTAGAAATCGAGGCCGCGTCTCACCTTCTTCTGCAGAACTTTGCATGTTGCAAAAGCCCCAAATGGAATCTAAAATCAGAAAAAGTGAGTTAGCACCTCCTCTACTGCCTGTTTTTGTTTTTTAAAGATCTATTTATGTATGCACACAGAACTGGGGCACAGGCCAGAGGTGCAGGGGCAGTGAGAGGCTTCACCAGAGACAGACTGGGGAGCAGAACAGGCAGATGGATGAGATACACGGCTGAGGGGAGTGTGGAGACAGGAGAGGTCTGCTGCAGCAGGCGGGTCACTCCCTGGCCGAGGACTGAACTCGCCTTGCAGTGGCCATGGACAGCTTCCTAGTGCTGCGCCACCAGGGCGGGCCACCAGATTTTAACCTGCTTTCTGAGGGACACAGCTGAGGGATGAGCAGACGGTGAACAAAGCGCCGAGGCGGAGACGGCGGGTGGGCCGCAGGGCTGGCGAGCAAAGTGGCCCCAAGACAGCCTGCCCCCTTCAACTTGGCTGAACTTGGCTGACGTGGGCTGACAACACCCCCCCTCCACTGTGAACTCTGAGAGGAAAAGACTGACCCAGTGCTCCCCAAACTCTGGGCGTCTGTGGGTACATTTTCTAGACCCCTTTACTCTCACAGAGTGTGTTGAGGCCAAGAGATGATCTCAGTTCTTTCTGACAAGAACATAAACAAAAACAAAGGAGACGACTCTTGACCATGGCTTCTGGGCTTTCAGAGCCCCCGTCCACATAGGGTCACCTGACCCAGAACAAGAACAGCTGCAATTCCCCCACTCACCTCGGAGAGCTCACACTTGGAGATGTCAAGGATGTCATCTGCTCCAGCTTCTTTTGCCTAACGGTGAAAAATAATTCCAATAAAACAAAAAGTACTCACACAGAATTACTCTTGCGGGTGAACATGCAAGGAAACAGGTGAAGGGCTGCAAGGGACCATGGGGCCAGCTGGTTCACGGGCCCATTTTGCAGCTGGACCAACGTCTGGCCGTGGGGGGGCTGGGCTTGAGGTGCAGCGAGGAAAGGCACAAACACCACCAGTGTGAGCAGCCTCGGGCCTCCCGAGCGCTGACCGCAGCCTCATCAGTCCTGGAGTTGGGGGGGGGTGGCCGGGGGGAGAGAGCAGAGCTGTCTGGGCAGTGGTGGAGATGGGGTGGCTCAGGAAACCCGATTTCCTCACCAGACACAGCTGGTACTCCAGGCGTTTCCGAGCCTCCTCACTAGGTTTCCGTTTCCGGAAGAAGAGTGGCATCCTTTTTTTTCTCCTGGGGTGATCTCCTCCACACTAGGGCATGGGAGAAGAGTTGTGGAATTTGTCGTAGTCCCAGGCACCTGTCGCTGGCCTGCTGGACTGTAGTGCCACCCCCGAGGGTGGCGGCGGGGCCAGCTCCAGGCCAGCATGTGCCTAGGGACACTCTGGTCTTTGGTGCGTAAACAGCAAGCATCAGCATGGACACCAGGTGACCTATGTTTGGGCCACGTTGGCTCACTGTGTGACGCTGGCATAATTTTTCCCCTTTGCCCCATTCTGGACCCTCCTTCCAGCCCTCCTACCCCCCAGTCTCTCTTCCATGTAAGCCAGGGTTGATCTGGAGAAATTTCCTTTCCAAAGATGGACATTGAGGACTCCACACACTTCTAACTCCCAAAACACAGAGTGTTCGGCATAAGCCAACCAAACATGCCATGGCAGTTGGCACTCATGACCTTGACCTTGGGGAGCTCAGCTACATCAACACCCAAGAGTTCTCTATGTTCATTAAAAATTCAAATTCTGGCTCAGGCACCCGCCCCCTGCTATTGTTCCATTTGATTCTCACCCCAGCCCTGTTTCTATTGACAAGGCTGCTCAGCCACCTGCTACCCAGCCTGGACTGTAGCAAAACCAGTCTAGAACTCTCCTCTTTTCGGTCCTGATTTTGTGAAATTTGCCCAACTCCTTAACGTGCCGATAACTTAGCACGGCAGGGAGACGACTCTAAACTGAGGCCGGCTCTTCCAGTCACAGGCGGGAAATAATCATCCAGGGAAGCCTATAGGTTAACAGCAAAGATGTAGGGGTGAAATCTAACTGGGTTTGAATCTACCCACCGACCATGTCACCGGGTTCACCTCTCTGAGCCTCAGTTTCTGCATCTGTAAAGTCGTGACCCACCCTGGGTTACCCTGAGGATCCCTGGATTTCATAGAGGAAGCCCACAGGAGGGCCCAGCCACTAGCCCCACCACCTACAGACATCTGTCCAGCACTGCGACAGCATCAGCACTGCTGAGGAGCTGCGGGTGAAGACCCACCCAAGGGGGACAGCAGGATCACAGGTCTCCGCCCACAGGGGCGTGGGCTGTGTGGGGAGCTGGCCAAGCCTGCAGGGCTGGCTGGCTCAGGCCCCTCTTTGTCACCCCACCTGCCGCAGTGGTGGGGAATGGCCTCAAAACAGCCCTCCCCAAAACAGCTCTTACTCCGCTGCTCCCCAAAGCCTAACGCTCGTTCACCCCCTCCCTGAAGTCCAGCCCAGCTCACCTCATCCTCAGTGACCACCCCGGTCTCATCCTTCTCGAGTCAGCTCCTCCCTATCTGCTCCCTGAGTCCATTCCCCACCGGTGCTGTCATCCCAGTCCCCTACATTCAGCGCTGATGGGGAGGCCACCCCGTCCTCCGCCCTGGGGCGGGGTCGCCCGGGGCGTGCACACCTGGCTGTGTGGATGGTCGCCCGACGCTCCTTCCCTCCGCTGGACCTGAAGGCCGGCAGATCACTCGTAGGGCCTGGGCATGGACGCTGGTCGGGACCACCCGCCCGGCCGCGGGAGCCCAGTCTGTCCTCGGAGCGCAGCGGCTGGCGCCGAAACTCACCCTCAGAAAGTCGTGCAGCCCTGGACGTCGGAGAATCAAGAGTTGGACTGGATTTAGAGCCGAATGAAACTGTTTCGGTGACGAACACGCATACGTCATGAGAGCGCTGGAAGGAGGCCCGGGGTGAATGTGGGTCTGGGGTCTCGGGAAGCGGGGTGCAGACCCCTCAGGGGAGGGGCGGGGCTCTGAGATTGGGTGACAGGCACCACGAGATGACCCTTAAAAGAAGACAAATGGGATAGCGGAGCCCGGGATTTTGCGAGCAGCTCTCCTGTCTTGTTTGGCTCCTTGGGACAAATGCGCTGAACCCCTCCCTACACCCACCCCCGCCTCCCCGGGGACCCCCATCCATAGCTCACAGCGAATGAAGATCTGCCACTAGCCCCGGCGCCTGCCCACAAGAAACATGGCGGCAAGGGCGTCGCTGGCCGGCAGGCGGCGCCTGCGGTTCTCGCGAGAGCCGCGCCCTCCCGCCTATATCCGGCGTGCTAGGCTCTTTTCCGGCCTTTCGGCTTTCGGCTCGGAGGAGGCCACGGTGCAACTTTCTTCGGTCGTCCCGAATCCGGGTTCATCCGACACCGGCCGCCTCCACCATGCCGCCTAAGTTCGACCCCAACGAAGTCAAAGTCGGTGCGTGCTTTAGCGATGGCCGGGCTGCGGGCCGGAGCGCCCCTGCGCCCCGCAGCGCGCCCGGCCTGCGGCTCCCGCCGCCCTGGCCCCTCCACGCGGGCTTAAACGCCGCTGCCTCCTAGGGCCCCCTGGTGCCGCGCTCAGGTCGCCAGCGGGCCTGGCCGCGCCTGTTACTTTTGCTTGGCCTCAGCTCCCCCACCTGTAAGGGGAGGGAGGACTGGACGACCCGCGGTGGCTTGGCCCCCGGCACGCCTTAGGGTAAGGTTTGTGTCGGGGCGCCCCTTCCCCCCGGAGGGCTCGCCTGGCGGTCGGGCGGTCCACGCCGAGGAGGGGGCGACTCGCTTCCCGCCGAGGTGCTTGGCCCGGAAGGCAAAGGCGCGGCCGGGGGCCGGGGCGCCCTGCGCACGGCGCTCACCCCTCTTTTCTCCCAGTGTACCTGCGCTGCACCGGTGGGGAAGTCGGTGCCACGTCCGCCCTGGCCCCCAAGATCGGACCCCTGGGCCTGGTGAGTCGGCCGGAGGCGGCGGCCGGGGAGGCGAGGCGAGGCGAGCCCCGCAGCCGGGGAGGTGTGGGGGCCGGAGCTGTGCCTGGCCCTCGGTGCTCTGCGCCTGCGGCGGGGCGGGAGGCGGCCGAGCGCCCGTTCAGGGGCCGGCGCGGGGCAGGCTGGTTCGCTGTAGCTGGGCGCGGCGGGCGCGAGCCGGCGGAGGAAGGTGCAGGTGAGCCGCTGAGCTCGGTAGGCCTTTAGTCGTGGTCAGCGGCTTACAGCCTCGGAAGTGGCTCCAGCACTACCCACCCACTTGGGGGTCGCGGAGGGCTGCCCCAGCGCCCTGAGCCTGCCATTTGCAGCCTTGGACAACCCCCAGCCTGTGGCGATAGTCACAGCCTGACGTGTTCGTGGCCCCTCAGCTGGACAGCTTCGAGCGCGGGAGGAGGGTTTCTGGGAAGGCCTGGTGGGCTCTAAGGCTGTGCCTCCGCTTGGGCGTGATGAGATTTTCTTTCTGCAGTCTCCAAAAAAAGTCGGGGATGACATTGCCAAGGCAACTGGCGATTGGAAGGGTCTGAGGATAACAGTGAAACTGACCATTCAGAACAGACAGGCACAGGTACTTGGCGGGAGGGAGGGCAGAGGTGGCCACTCTCCGTTCCTGGGTGGGTGATACTTGCTGGCAGGGCGCCTGCCACCAGGGGTGAGGAGCAGGAGGCAAGGTTATGGGGGGGGGGGCTTTTTCCAGAGTTCGGGCCACCTTTCGGTTGGAAAATACTCGAGTCACTCCAGTGTCTGGCCCGTTGTCTGAGCAGCAGCGTGGTCCAGTTCACTCACACTGAGACTCTCTAATGCAGATTGAGGTGGTACCTTCAGCCTCTGCCCTCATCATCAAGGCCCTCAAGGAACCACCAAGAGACCGGAAGAAGCAGAAAAACAGTGAGTGGCCCTTTCCCTACTAGTTGGCTACAGAGGGGTGTGGCCTGCCCAGCGTGGTGCTTAGCAGCAGGTTTCCGGGCTCGCTCAGGGTCTGACAGGCTCTCAGAGCCAGGCACGACCAAGCAAAACAGCTGGCCCAGGAACTAACCCTTGACTTGTACCTCCCATGGAAGCCACCAGCCCCTAGTGGGGTGCCCCCAGCCACCCGCCACTGCGCCTGACCAGATCTGTGGGCTGGTGCAATCCAGAGGTGAGCTGATAGTGAACCCCAGCTTAGGAAACAGGGTTGTTCTTCATGTGGGTGACTCTGTGCCGAAAGCATGGGAACACCTCCAGGATAGATGACAGAGGATTTTACTGGGTCTGCTCTGGCTGTGACAAAACCTTTTTTTTTTTCCCTTCTCTGCAGTTAAGCACAGTGGAAATATCACATTTGACGAGATTGTCAGCATAGCCCGACAGATGCGGCACCGATCATTGGCTAGAGAACTCTCTGGTAAGAGCGAGGCAGTAGAGACCTGCACTGTTAAATGTGGGGTGCATCTGAGTGGTTATTTTCCTATGGAGAGGTTACCCCAGAATTGGGGTGCTGTACCATTGCATTTCAGCCACTGACACTGGCTTGCCATGTGATTGGCTTGGGCTTGATCTGTGTAATCGAACTGGTACATAAGTACACAGACGTCTAGACTCTGGCTGGGAGGTGTGTTTGAGGCTCTGAACTAGGTTACCCCTCTCCTTGTCTGCTGTGCAACTCACAAGGAACCCCCCCCCCCACCTGTCTGGGAACCATGAGACCCATTAACCAGAGGCTACTTTCTGGGTTCCAGGCACCATTAAAGAGATCCTTGGCACCGCCCAGTCCGTGGGCTGCAATGTTGACGGCCGCCACCCTCACGACATCATTGACGACATCAACAGTGGGGCGGTGGAGTGCCCTGCCGTAAGTGAGCTGCATCGGGCTACTGGCTACGCTAGAAATTGGGGTGGGAGTTGGAGGGGAGCTAATGCATTCATGGGGAGGAGCTGGAAAGTTACAGAAGTGGCCTTGAGTTGGGAGGGAAGAACTTTCTGTCCTTTTGCTGATCTGGTTCTTTTTTCATCCCACAGAGTTAAGGAAAATCGAGAGAAATCCCAATAAAGGATCGTTTGACTGGACATTTTGATGTGGCCTCTTCTTTGGGCAGGGGTTGGGGGGGGAAACACACCGGGTCTTTTGTGGTCAGAAGGCCCTCCCTGGGGCCAAGGTGGGAGGGTCCTTGGGGGAGCAGTGAGTAGCCAGGTTTCTGCCCTGCATAGAGGAGACTAGAGAGCAGGTCTCGGCCTTGTTTGTGCCAGTGTAAACGTGGAGGAAGCTCTGGTGCCAGGGCTCAGCCTGCAGATGCACCGGTACAGGAAGCTGGGCGCTACCATGGCGGTCACTGGCGCCGGCAGTGCCCTCGTAGCCCTCCTGCTCTCGGCTGGTCTGCTCCAGTCCACTATTTCCTCACGTTTTCCCCTTTCCCCAGCTCGTCCTTGTCCTCCCCTAGTTTTCCTTTCCATGTACTTTACTATGTAACAGGGTAGGACTTCAGAAACCAGGCCAGTGGAAGCCCCACCCCGAGGGCTTTCTGGACACGTCCCTCGGAGTGGGAAGGGGCAGTCATCTCGCTCCCATTTTGCTCAGTCCCTTTAGAGCAGGTGGCCTTCCCTCCCAGTTTTGTACACAGGGCTAGAGAACACCATACTGGGGGCTTGGGGTCGCTGGTGGGCAGCTGTTAGGCAAACCTGAGGAGGCCAGTCTGGAAGCAAGTGCTGCTGAGTGTTGAAGGTTAAGACTACTAGCTGGGGGCAGGAACTCAGGGGGCCGAGGCGGGGCTGCCCACCAGGCAGAAATAATCAACAGGGTGGGACCCTGATGAGCAAGAAAGTAAATAGGACCCACTAGGCCACAGCACCACTGGCAGCAGGTTGCCTCTGTCCTGAAGACCCTCCCAGTGTAGCCTGGAGGATCACCCCTGTTGCCCCCTTTTCTGAGGCAAGGCTGGGCCAGGCTTTCAGTGGGAAACTTGAATCTGGGGCTGTTAAAATCTGCGTAGTGGGAGCCTAGCATTGAGCCCCCCAAAGTCTGGGAACTGCCTGCATTTCCAGGAACTGGAAGTGTCATTGATGAGTCAGTTTCTGAAAAAGCTTCCAAGCCCAACGGAAGCTTCCCTGTGTTTCCCAGCAGGTGCGACTTCACCTGGAGCACAACAGTTACTGCCAGTTAGAGACGTCTCCATTTAACTTCACCGAAACTTCATTTCCCCTGCAGCTTTTAGGTAGGCTAGGACTGCTCTGCCCTTCCCAGTCATGGGTGTGCCCGCGGGCCCTGCGGGACTGTAGGGGAGGAGGCAGGCCTTGGAGCCTCACTCCCTTCTCACTAGTACCTTACCCCAGGCCAGGTTTTAGGCAAATGCTTTCTGGCCACTGATGCATTTTCTAATTTTGCAAGGCCCGTTCTAGACGGCAAGCCCTGCCAGAACAGCCCAGTGTTCAAGGACCAAGTTCCTAGCTGGCTGGATGGCATTTACAGGCTGTGGCTCCTGCTGAAGTCCTCGCTACACAAAATGTACAGCGAGCTAAATGTCTAAGACAGTGATGTGGGCGGGCCTGGCTCTGCTTCCTGAAGACGCTAAGGGCAAGTCAGACTCCATGGGAAACGTTAAAGAGCAACTTTATTAAGGTGCTTTCGCGTGTGGCTCTGGGATCCAGACTATAAAAAGCACCTCCAGATGCTTTCAATCTGTCCGCACTTACCTGGCCCGATCCACTGCAGTTCGTCCCAGTCACTCTCCAGCATGGAGTCTCTGATGCCTGACGAAGGCCGAGCTACACCTGAAGGCCTTCCCGCACGCGGGGCACTGGTAGGGCCTCTCGCCCGTGTGGATTCTCTGGTGCTGACTAAGGGACGAGTTCTGGCTAAAGGCCTTCCCGCACGCGCGACACTCGTAGGGCTTCTCGCCCGTGTGGATTATGTGATGCCGGATGAGGGCTGAGCTCTCGCCGAAGAGCTTCCCGCACTCGTTACATCTGTAAGGCTTCTCCCCGGTGTGGGTCTTCTGGTGAATGAGGAGGTTTGTGCTCTGGCTGAAGGCCTTGCCGCACTCGCCGCACCGGTAGGGCTTCTCCCCGGTGTGGGTCCTCTGGTGGTTGGTGAGGTTGGCGCTCTGGCTGAAGGCCTTGCCGCAGTCGCCGCACCG